TTTCCCTGCTCCCACCACGATGCTCACGCACACCCTTGCACCACCCCCTGCTCTGCAATCGCTGATGCAGTGGAGCGGCTGATGCTCAGTTCCACCCACCATTTCATTTCTTCTAGCTCCTTCTGCCTTTACCTCTTTACAGGGCTGACTTACATGAAGCTCTCTAAATAAAGAAGCAGATGCATTGTTCTTCACTACCATGTGCAGACCCTTACTTACCATCTGAGTACCCAACCAAGAATACAGACTAATACAGGAAACTAGAATAAAGTTAGAGAAATCAAGTAGGTGCACTTTTTTTAATACTACTGCCTTGCTAATCCCCCCAAAACCAGCACAATATAAAAAAAAATTGATCTTTGGGGAAATGGTAAGTAGCACAGAATTAAGACAACATGCAAAATCCTGACTTCACTGAATGAAATGAGATTTTTGTCATTAACTTCAATGAAGCCAGTGTTTCAAAAGTGTCTTGACAACAACTTTGGTACATGTTTCTTAGATGACTTCTCTCTAATGGAATTAAATAGTTCCCAAGATAAGCTTTCTTCCATTCCCACTGTAATCAGTGTTGTATTTGCTATGGTTTTCAGTGAGAGCCCAATTGGGCCCTAGGCTCAGAAATAAAAATCATCTTGAAGTAAATGGGTTGCTGTGTATCTGACCTCTTCTCTCATTGGTGTGAACACAGCACAGGGATGAAACCTCAGATCATTGCTGCTATTTGTGTGAAAAGAGGTTGTTGGTTTTTTTCCTACCAGAAGATTAATAGGTAGCAAGTTCAATATCGTTAGGTATTTAGTTTTCCTTAATTGTTCCAGGAACTCATCTACAGAGAGCAATGCATCACATCTGGAGGTAGCAATTTACCTTTCAGAAATCAACAAAATCTGCATGCTCCTCCTGGGTTTAGGAAAAAGGAGCTCACACAGCTACTGCCACTACTCCAGTCCCTCGGATAACCCAAGGCTTCAGGGGATTCTCAACGATCTGCAGTATCACCACCAATATTTCCTTTGGAATTCACCAAGTTTTCTTCAATATCTTCTGTCTAGATAAGCTAATCTTTCTCAATACATGTGAAAGCACATCCTAGAAGTCTTGCAATAGGCTTGTAGCATTTAATTTTCTTTTAAGCCTGAAGGTTCATACTTGTTAATAATTTGGTGGATCCTGATAGTTCTGCAGCCTGGAGAACAGACAACAGATGGTCCAGCCTCAGCATTAAGCATTATTCCTTCTGTATCTTTCAGGAATTCGAGAGATTCTTATTTTAGAAATATTTTTTGCTCCTTCCTGTCTGGGCACTGGTCATCTGCTTCACCTATTTTTCCACTATACTTCAAGAAAGTGGATGCTCTCAGTAGAAAGAAAGACCCTATTCCATGGATTGGAGTTTTTATTATTTGCACTTTTATTGTAGTATCTTCCTAATAATCCTCAAATTTTCATGAATGAAACCAAAGAAAAGGAGAGCGGATAGGTAGGGTTTTCTCCATCAGTTTTTCATTGACGCTACACAACCACAGGGCACTGCCATGTAGATATAATCAAGGATCCATCCAGAGAACCGACCATGTCTGTACCAACTGACTCCTGAGGAAACTCCAGAATTGGTCCACCACAGCGTGAAAAATAATTATTCAATGCTATTGTTCAGGGAAAAAAAATGCATTAACTCTCATACTACAGCCACAGCCATTGGCTTGTTTATTGGAATAAATGTTGGGGTTTTTCTGGTATCTTGACAGACCGTATTCCCTGGCACAGAGGACAGGCAGCGGCGCTGCGATGCTCAGCATCCCCCTGGTTTGCACTGCCCGTCGGGGCTTATCCTCTTTTTCACACATTACGAAGGAGCTCGCCGAAAGGCTGGAGCTCGTTGGCACTTTCAGGTTTGTCCTCTCCTGTGTTCTGGACCAGAAGAGAAGTCTGGCGAGCAGGAGCGGCGTGTGGACTTCTCCTGCAGGTGGTTGGTACTGCATGAAAAGACAAGGCAGAAACCGCGCTGCCTGTTTCTGCGGGCAACCGTCCTCGTTACGGCAATTACCCGGCAGTTCCCCACGAGGGGTTTCAGCTGTTTGCTGATCTGTCACTTGGCCGAGAGAGGCCAAGCCAGGCGGCGGCACGGCACAAGCAGGGCCGGGAGGGGTCCGCAGCTCCCGCCAGCCGTCCCCACGGGATTGATCGGAGCTGCCCCGACCCCACCACGCTCCCAGCACCGCGGGTGCGGTGATGCTGCAGTAACGTCACGCTGAGTAATTTCTGTATCATATGACGCTGGGGGTATCTGGCACCAGGTCACTCTCCGCTACCACCAAGAGCAAAATGCTGTGCAAAATGCCACCGCGCTTTGGGTGGGACACAGAGCTGAGGATGCTTAAGAAAAAATTGTGTTTACAGCAAACTGTCTTCTCAAGCCTACAGCTGCACCTCTCTGCCCTTAGATTCTAAGATTAACTTTTTACTTCCAAAGTAAAGAAAATACACATCTGCGTCTTGGAGATATTCACAGATATGGGTGCACAAAGGGGCCACAGTACGGGTCACATTAAGACTCCACACACAAGGCATATATAGACCATATAACTTATTGAAGTGTAGTGCCGTTCTGAACTCAGGAACAGTTTCTAACTTACTTGCAGTATCACGAGATCATTCAAACACAGTAAGACTGAAAGAAAAACAAAAAGCAAAATGCAGCAAAGAAAAGGTATGTTTTCAGATGAAACGTGAAACTGCAGCAGACCCAAGAGAGCAGCAGAGCGGGATCTCCAAGAGGCTGGAGCTGCAGAGGAGACAGGTCTCACCCTTGGACGGGTGCTACTACACACTGGGGACAATATCCCCAACGCTGAGCACGCACTGGGGACAGAAACACATCCTGCTACCTCCTAGCAATAGAAAGCAAAAGCATACCAGGATTTTAAAGCAAAGAGCACTAGCTAGAAATGGCTCCTAAAACTAATTAAGAGCTACTGCAGTTGGTTTGGATCAGATGAGGGTAAGGTTACACATGCGACCTTCTGCACTTATCTGTGCTGGTTATTGGAAGTGAAATCACCAAGTCATTTACCAACTCACTCAAGAGTTATGTATGTGAAGGTTCAGTGCATCACTAACTTTACTTTCAAGGCTTGGCCTGCAGACCTTCACCAGCGAGCATCTCTGCATCCTTCCAGTTTGTTCTACATAGAATTAAACATAGCTAATTGTGCTTTAAGCAAGGCAAAGCAGCCTTCCCTTATCACCCTTCCCGGTCCAAGCTCAGCGTGCAAAACTTTGCACAGGAAACGTCCCCAAAACTCAAAACGACGCAGACGACGACCGGCAAGCACAGGGGCCTCTCTGGCAGCAGAACAAACCTCACCTCCCTCCGGGCTGACACCGGCCCCGTTAGCGGAAGGGTAAAGCAGAGCAGCTCCGCGCCGGCCAGCGGCAGGGGCCCCACAGCCACCTGCGCAAGGGAAACTGCCGCCCGCTGCCGAAAAACCTCCGAAACCAGACCCGCAGGCAGGGTCCCACGCAGGAGCCCACAGCATCGCAGCGGGGGCACGGGGCTCGCAGCCCAGCTCCCTGCCAGCGCCGCTCAGCGTTCCCGGGATGCTTCCCCTGCGGTGGACGGCTGCACCTATCCATCCGTCCGTGGGAGCCCGTCCGTCCGTCCGTGGGAGCCCGTCCGTCCGTCCGAGGGAGCCCGTCCAGGCGCGGGGGCCGGGATGCGACCCAGGACACGCGGGGCTGCGGAGGGAAGGGGCACGCGGCGACAGCCGGCCGACAGCACTGCCCCGGCCTCCGGCCGCTACTGATGGCGGACACGTGCGCACTGTGAACAGAAATTTCTGTTTAATTGCTCAAATGGCTTCGTTTCTCTACACTAAGTGTTTAAGAAAAACCCAGACCAACGACGTAAGAATAGGCTGTTTCCCCACATTATTAAAGAACACAGACATATGAAAGGAAAGCAGAGATCAAGTATTTCCCTTTCCTATAGGGAAATAATATGCATTTTGGCTGTTTTTTGTTGGTTGTTTTTGGTTTGTTTTTTTTTCCTGGCAGATTTGAACAGTATAAAGCTTTGAATATTAAGAAGGCTATTAAAGTCTTTCAATAGTTTTCCAAAGTGCGAAGCTACTGCACTTAGAAAAAGGAAAGGAAGCCTAGCACTCTTCAAGAGCAAAATGAATTTAAACACACGATTAATATTGCTACTGAAATTAAAAAGAAAGTGTCTTTTAAAAAAATCAATTGTCTTGAAACAAAGCACAGACTTTTGGCTATTGATAGTATTTTTAGACTCAGACTTTCTCTGGAGACTTAAAAGTATGCAAATGCAAAGTGCAGAGAGGCGCGCACACACACATGCTATACCTTTGTATTACATTGGCATTTTATTATTTAATTAAACTACTCTTATTTTTCTAGCTCACGCATGCTTCCCTTGAGACGGCTTTGCTGTTAGCCTGCTGGCCTTGACTTCCAGCCAAAAACAATTCAGAAACAAAAAGGGACAACAAATCATATTTTCACAGACATTTTTATCCCTCAATACAACCTTGTTTTCACACAACATCATACAGATTCTATGAAAACTATAATTTATTGCAGTAGCCATCCAAAGCTAGGGGCTGACACAAGCTCTGCGGTGTGTTTCCACTTCTGTAATTTCCGAAGTTGTGCTGTTGGGAAGGACCCGCCATGCTGAACAGTGCGGCATTGTTGCAAGGGACAACAATCAATAGTTCACAGCAGCTCTGACTAGGGCGGTATTAGGTCAACCCAAGTACTCATAGTCTCCAGTAACTGCATCCTGGCTAGAAAAGCTCAGGCAGGAGCTTTAAAACCTGCATTTGCAAATAAAGCCCATTTCTGAGAAACGCACATCTGCAGCCATTGCCGTTTATGATGGAGCCTATCCCTAAGACGTACAACTTTAAGAAGCAAACCTCATTTATCAGAGTATTTATCACAACCCCTCTGCTGAGCAGACTTTCACTTACCTGGTGGCAACCCTGTAAATTCGAATCTCTTCCATACGATGAGTACGAACCCCTTTCTGTTTTACCTGTTAACAAAAAAAAAAGAAGATGTATAACACATATAAACAGATATATATATAGCTTCTCCAAGCACTTTATATGATGTTCACCACATTTTCCTAGTGCTGTTTACATATGTAAAATAGGCACTGCTGACTGCGTAATGCACGTAGGCAACAGAAAGGGATTAACACTTTTTCATGCTGAGGATGGTGATGTGAAATAAACTTCCTAATCTCAGCTGCGCTGCTCCACACACTTCCTGGAACCGGGATTTAACGGGCTTCCACCAGCTGGCTGAAGGTGCGAGCAGACCTCCTCCGCGCCTCCCCCCCGCCTTGGGGGCTGAGCACCCAGGCACCCTACCTGTCCCCTGCCACCCCAGCGCTGCGCCGGGGGCATGATGAGCCCCTCGCCGGCTCTCCGGACAGCCAGCTTCACACCCAGGAGCTGCTGGCGATGCGGCTCCCCGCTCTCTTTCCCAGGAGGAAATTCCCCCGTGATCGAGGTGACGATGGAATTTACGCCGGGGAAAGACACCGACTGGGAATTCGTCATTTGCCGCCAGGGCTGGGGCTGCCCCGGCGGTGCTGGGACTCGAGCGGGGGCCCAAGGACCGCCCAGACCCTCTGCCAGCCCTAAGCGCCCTTTTCTTTTTCTTTTTTTTTTTTTTCCCAGGAAGCCTTTAACACTCAGAACCAGCAGCCTGACTTGCAGTACCGGTTACGGTTATGCTATATTTGCAAAGGAAAATAAAGGTTCTTTCAGGTTTGAATGGCCAGACTCAAGCAAAATCAAGAAGGGAAGAGGTGGTTTCTGCAAAGCATTAAGTCATGGCTGAGCAGCACCGCACCACGTGCTCCGGAGACAAAGAGCAGTCAAGAGGGCTGATACAAAACATATTGACACTAAAAGACCACCCTTATGGTGAGGATAATCACGGGAGGGGGGGAGGTATTATCTAACAAAACATCCAAGAACACAGTAAAAATCACTCATAAAATTAAAGTTTTTATTATAGGCTGGGGCATAAAACCCACAACACACAGTACCAGTTACTAGGGACCAGATGCTCAGTTTATCTCTGCGCGCAACTCCCAGCGATGCCGGGGACACCTCTGCACCCAGAAGCCGGGTTCACGTGGCTGCACACCCCCACCTACGAGAGACGCGGTGGCAGCCCCACGCCAAAGCCTGCGCCGCCGAGATAAAGCCGCTGTGCTAGCATACCTACCGGAGCCATTAAAAAACGTCCTTTAACTGTGTTTAGAAATATCAGGTTATAACGACGACGATATCCACCGACCTCGCCCATTGCTGGGGCCCGAGCAAGGCAGTGGTGAGGGGTCCCGAGCTGGCGCTGCTACTGCCCGACGGCCGCACGGCTCTGCTGTGCTCCGTTTTCCCAATGCGATCCAAATTTCATAAAGAACCCATGGTGAGGCAGGTCGTTAGACAAAGAATGATGGAGTTAATTTTAATCGTTCCCAAAATGGTGTGGCCACATTGACTCCACAAGCCCTTCCTTTGATATACAGCTACTAGGTTTGATTGCCCTTCAGAGGTATTATTGATAAAGTTTGACTATTGCAAGTGGCTTGGAATAAAAAAATCACCTTTCTCCTCATCACAGTTTAAGACTCTTGCTTGCTTTTGTTTCTCAGTTGGTTTTGGTTTTGTTGTTTTCCACGTGCAGTAGTTACTTATACAGGGGAACCTCCAAAATTTATTTGCAATTCATAGGACATTTGCGCATGTAATAACTTTTGAAAGCACTTGTATCTGGTTATACAAAAATGATGGATCACCCACTCCATAGCCCCCCTCAGGTTCAGAGTACTGGAAGCCTTTGCAGAAATAATTCAAGATTGAAATGACAATGAAATTTTAATCGTGAATCCCCGAGTCCAATGCCGAGATTGGAAAACAAAATGTCTTGCTGGCACGCCTGGAGTTACGTGTGCTACTTCCCATCACCCCAAGAGGGCCAGAAAGTCGATGCAAATAACAAGCGGTGAGGACGGGGGAAAAAAAAAATCCCAAACAGAAAAATAGGGTCGAGGGGAACCAAGTACAAGCAGCGACACAAGGTACTTTGAACGCGCTTCTCACTGCTGCCTGGGTATCAGTAATCTTCTTTTCTATCGTATCAGACACAGGCAGCCTCATCTTAATTTCAGTTGTTAAAAAATATTTATCCAGATACAAAAATAAACCCACTGCAAATTACAAGTTGTCAGGGTTAAAATCTACTTCTATTTGTGTGGGGGAGGATAAGAGAACAGCATAGACATGAATCATTCTCAGTAATTTGAGTGTTTCCATGACATCAATGGGCACTCGTCCAGGACTCTGTCGAAGTCTGTGAGGTACCAAAGCGGCACAGCAGCCAGCAGGAGATTGACTTTTTTTTTTTTAGGATTATGCTCCTTGTAAAGATTTCATCTATAGCATCCACTTTTACCACCAAACAGATAGCTTTGGAGATCATGAGTGAACACATTTCATTCTGATAGTGTAAGCCTTTAACTTTATTACATTTGTTGTTGTTGTTGTTGTTCCCACATACAGCTAGAAATCCGCCTCCTCGATTAAGAACAAATAACCAAAATTCATGAAAAAGTCAAGAAACCATTAAAAAGATATACATACGTAGATTTTCACTATCAACTGTAATTATGAAATTATCGTACTTTTTGTAATGACACTTCATTGGGGGGGGGGAATATCTTTTGTATAAACTGTCCATTTAAAATTAGCTACACTCTTGATGTTGATTTTCTGCTTAAAATTCACTGGCACATTTGTTTCAGATAATAAAATTTGCAAGAGTGCTGATAATATGCAAGAGTAGGCTCTTTAAGCAACTATTTGTGCTCACAAATACAAAAGCTTCTCCTGAATTTCTACGTTTACTGTACATTATGCATCATTTTCAGTCACTTGAACAACCCAGCCTGTACTGTGCGTTTTCCGAGGTTTGCAAGAGCTAAAGATTCTCTCTCCTTTTTTTAAAAAATGTTTTTAAAAAGGAGAGAGCGTCTACAGCGATGTAGACACCCGACGCATTCACTGCGGAATTTTCGAGACAACCCTCTAGTACTAGAATGCGGCAGCCGCTGCGGATATTTTTTGGCACAAAGACAATGGTGGCAGTGCCAAGCCCCATGGCTAAAACTACTCAAAAGAGGCATAAGGGTAGCATTAATCGTTCAAGTCTTTTACTGCATGGAGTACTGTTGTCCATATTTTAAAACCTAAAAGTACCCGTTAGTAATATTTGTTGTAAGCCAGGGAAAAAAAAAAAAAAAAGGAAAAAAAAAGGGAGCCTGAAATAGAGACGAATAACAAATCTTGTCAGACATCTGATTAATTTTTTCTACCTAGAGGACCAAATGCTAAAATGTGCCATTTGTTACCAGCACTCCGAACACGCAACACGATCTATACCCTTCCGTGGCTTTATGATCTGACAATTGAAACAAAGCTCCATGGAAGAAGTTGACCTACAAAGGCTGGTGAATAACTTTCAAGTATGCACTTGTTCTTTAGGTAAGGCAGAAAAAGCATCTCCATTATTATCACAGGCAATAACTTAGTGTGTGTGTAAATATATATATATATATTCAATTAATTGACACAATGCATGCCAATCAAATGAGAGACAAAGAAAGAACTACATGCAGCTCCTGTTTTCTGACAAACACTGAATCTCAAGTCTCTGCTCTCCAAATACCTCTAGAAAAAAATACTGCTTATCTTCACTAAACTACAATGATTGCTTCATAAATATTTTGTTTGCATTTTTGTTTAACTGTAGAAAATAAAGGCAGCACAGGATTGCCAATCAATCAATAAAGAAGCCACTTGCCTTTCCATGGTGTACTTTGAAAAATTAATCAAATTAAGTAGAAAATTTAAGCAACTTCCAAAGCACAAATGCAAGTCATCTGATTCCCCACTCTCTTTTCCCCTGCCCTGGGAGATAGGGCACCTTGGCTTTTTTCTGGTAGGCAGAATGAGAGGCATGAGGCAACTCTTTCCATCTGTAGAGAAAAGGAAGTGATGCTATTTCTATAAATGACTTCAATTCAATGTTTACATTGATTTCATGTTTGACATATTTTTTGAGAGATGAGTTCGATCAGAATATTCTAATTCAGGTTTCTGCTGCCCTACATTTGGGGTTTAATTCTTGGTTAGACTGAAGAAGGGAAACCTGTCTGAGGAAAGGAAAAAAAAAAGAAAAAAATAATTGTATTAGGGATTGGAATTTTAATGGCTGCAAATTTCGGTCTGTTCAGGTCTGCAATTTTGCTTAAACCTGTTTCTTATTTTATTACTGCATTTCTAGCATTTTTGAAAATTAATGATTGTTCCCTCTGATCTTGGATGTCTCAAATGCATCCTGAAGGGACCCCGATCGATTCCCCTACAGAGAATGACAAATTAAAGGAGAAGCCAGTGTCAAAGTCAGACCAGGTATGAGGAACATAGAGCTGGAGCATATTGGGAAAAAGTTCTGAGCAACTGAAGAATGGGCTGAACTTTATAGTTCCAGATTTGTCTGTATATAACGAACACACACGTGTTATCAGCCGTAGCAGGGTTTATTTGCATTGTGATGAGGATCATGAAACAGTTTACTTCTGCCTTAATCTACAGTTCTTGCATTCAAAATTTTCTTATGCTTGTTTAAGTTTGGCTGCGCGAGGAAGGGAGGATGTGAGCACTCCAGGGAGGGAGCGCGGGACTCATCTCCGTGCTCGGTAGCGTGAGTGAAGGTCTCCGACCACCGGCCCTGCCTGACACGAGGACCGCCCCTGCACAGTGACTTCTGCCACTGACAGCCACGTTACCAGCACTGCCATTTTTTTGCCTCAGAGATTTGAAAACCTGACGCATTTCAGCAGAGAAATCAAGCTAAAATTTGTATAGAATTATAAATTATCCAAGGAAAAACCTCACTGCAATAAATGAGCCATGGGACACTATACATCCTGTACCTATAAGCACCTCGCTCTCG